ACCACAGGTGCTTTGATATACTCAAAGCATACACTTAAAGTGACTCAAATTCCAGAAGGCAAGGCACTACAACACTGAGAAAGTAATGACAAAAACAGTCTGGAGGTTCCTCAAAACATTAAAAAGAGAACTACCATATGATCTAGCAATTCCACTTCTGCATATTTATCTGAAGAAAATTAAATCACCGTCTCCAAAAAATATCTGCACTACCATGTTCAGTGTGGCATTATTTATAATAGCAAAGGCATGGAAACAACCTGTCTACTGACAGACGAATGGATAAAGAAAATATGGTGTCTGTGTATCTATATATACATATATATGTGTGTGTGTGTATATACACACACACACATACAAACAAAATATTCAGCCATAAAAAGGAAGGAAATCCTGCCTTTTGTGACAGCACAGATGGACCTTGAGGGCATTACGCTAAGTGAAATAAGTCAGAGAAAGACAAATACTGTATGATCTCACTTACATGTGGAATCTAAAAAAAAACCTGGACTTATAGATACAGAGAACAGATGGGGGGTGTCCCCCACTAGGCAAAACGGGTAAAGATGGTCAAAACATACACACTTCCAGTTATAAGACAAAGTAAGTCCTGCAGATGTAATGCACAGCATGGTGACTTTAGTTAACAATACTATATTATGTATTTGAAAGCCGCTAAAAGAGTACAGTCATCCCTCAGTATCCAAAGGCAATTGGATCTAGGATCCCTGCAGATACTAAGTTTCGAAGATGCTCAAGTCCCTTACATGGCATAATGCAGTTAGCCCTCCATATCCATGGATGTGGAATCCTCGGACAGACAGGGCCAACTGTAGTCCTTAAAAGTTCTTATCACAAGAAAAAAAAAATTTTAACTATGTGTGGGAATAGATGTTAACTAAACTTACTTTGGTAATCATTTTGCATTACATACATATATCAAATCATTATGTTGCATACCTTAAAGCTAATACAATGTTATACGTCACTTATATCTCAATAAAAAAAAGTAATGACAAAAATGACACGACATATAATTAGTATAAAATAGTCTCAATGAATAGGAAAAAAATTTAATGCTCTCAAAGCATTTGATTTACATAGGAGAACTGGAGACATAAAGTTAGAAGTTATATATCTCAACAGATAACTGACTAAAGAAATTTTTCAGTGCAAGAGAAACAGGTTAACTTTCAGTTATACAAAGTTTTTAAAGAACTGGGCCTCTTGTTTTCTTTTTAAAATGTGTATCCCGTAGGCCTAAAACCAGTTTACAGAGGAACTCATCCACCAGAGGGAGCCCTTACAAAACAGGAGAAAAAAATGTTAACAGTAAAATAGTATATAAAACTCAAGGTTAGAATACTTCTTACAAAACAAAATCCATAATCACGTGTTATTTTTCTGAGAAACACAAAATTCCCATCACTGTAATGGACTCCCCTCTAGTGACATAAATAGAACAAATATGTACAAAAGAGCTGTAACTCTTCACCCACAGCAAGTCAACTGGAGAAGTAATACTTATTCTTTGCATTCCACACCCACACCACTCCCTTTTTTCCCCTTAAATTAGTTCTAGGATCACTTATTTTGAAAATCAGTCACCTATATACACAATGTCAACAGTCAGCCTGAAACAGTCACCTAATTCTGGGTTCAGCAATTCTAGGAAAGCCCATGTCACCACAATCTTCGCTTCCCTCTTACCATTTAGTTACAGAAATTTTCTACATGCCATATATCTTGAGGCCATTAAATTTAAATTTATAAACAATAACCAGTAGTAGCTAACTACTAATCAGGTATGTATTAATTTTTAGAAAATACTATTTATTAAGTACTCAGTAAAAACCTCACAACCACCCCATGAGGTAGGTACTATTATTATCCTCACTTTATAGATGAGGGCACTGAGGCTTACAGGTCTCACTGGTAGTAAAGAATAGACCACAAACCACAGGGCTAAGTAGTGTGTGCTATACCACAGATAAGAAAGTAACTGAACTTCTTGAGATCATTGTAGATTCAAGCTACAGTTCTAAAAAAAGAAAAAAGAAAAGAAATACAGCAAGATTCCTTGTATACTCTGCCCAGTTTCCTGCAATGATAACATTTTGCAAAACTACAATACAATGTCACAAACAGGATACTGATAATGATACAATCTATCAACCTTATTCAGTTCTGTCTGAGGCATTTTTAACCAGCCAATACACATTTGCTTTCATTCTATCAATACTTCTAAATGCTCTATATAAAAATTCTTCAATTGTTTTTACCTCTAACTGGTTTTCACTTACAATTTAATCTTTACAATGAATTTTAGGGTTTCACACTATTTTGTAGTTATGTATCTCAGCATCCTCATTCTCCTACATATGTAAACTTAGGTAGTTCTATTCTAATTTCTCCAAAGCATGGGCCTTGAGGTCAAGGATCCTGAAATTTAATCCCAGTATTCTGGCATGTACTTAGCTTTGGCAAGTAATTTAACCTCTCAATATTTCCATCATCTGTAAAACGGGAATAACAGTACCTACTTCAAAGAGTTCCTGAAGATCAAAGTTTGCCTGCAAAGCAGTTGACATAGCACATGGCACAAAGTAAGTATTCACTAAATTTAACCATAATTACTTACTATTCCTTCACCAAGACTTATCTAATAGCAAATCCATCCATTCCAACCTCTTTAACATCCTAACCTTACCATATATGCCCATCTGTTCATTCATTCAACAAAAATGTACTGTTGACACATAATAAAGATGAACAGATGAATCAAAAACAGAACTTTTCTTCATAAAAGCACAATTACTAAAATTTAAGGTAGACAACAACAATGCCAAAAAAAAGTACAAAGTTCTCTGTTTGATGGTGGAAGTAACACATGACCTGGCTTTTTAAGAGTTTATTCATTTGAAAAATGAGTGGGATATAGCATTTTCTAGAGTAGACATAAGGGCAACTAAGGTACCAAGGGCAAAAGTGGGGTATGGATAGGAAACAGTCAAGCAATTCAGGTTGGCTGCAACGGAGGGTGCCAGAAAAGAAAAATGGAAAGTAAGACTAAAGATTGGACAAGGGCAGGGGCTTCCCTGTTGGCGCAGTGGTTAAAAATCCGCCTGCCAATGCAGGAGACATGGGTTTGAGCCCTGGTCCAGGAAGATCCCACATGCCGCGGAGCAACTAAGCCCGTGCGCCACAACTACTAAGGCTGCGCTCTAGAGCCTTTGAGCCACAGCAACTAAAGCACGCGCGCCTAGAGCCCGTGCTCCGCAACAAGAGAAGCCACTGCAATGAGAAGCCCACGCACCGCAACCAGGAGTAGCCCCCGCTCGCCACAACTAGAGAAAGCCTGCATGCAGCAATGAAGACCCAACGCAGCCAAAAATAAATAGATAAATAAATAAATCAATCTATAAAAAAAAAAAAAAAAAGATTGGGCAAGGGCAGATCCCGAAAAGCTTTGAATCTAAGTCCAGAATCTAAATTTCATTCTGTCTATAATGAAAAGTCAAAGATTTATGAGTAATGCCATTATGAGTTCATAATTATATACCCAGACCATTAATGTGCTACAACATGTAAAACAGACTAGAGAAATCTCTACTGTGTCAGTATTTAGAAACCTGCTGCTGTATTCAATGAGGTAGGTTAAGAAGGAAGGTCTGAAGGGAAAAATACTAATGGAATTGAATCAATACAATTTGAAACTTAACGAAACATGGGAAAAAGGAAGTGAAGATGATTTAGGTTTCAAGCCTTAGCTGTGAACTGCACTGAAGAAAAATGGCTCCCAGACTTCTCTACAAATCACATATTCATTTTCCTGAATTCTAAACTATACTTTAACTTCTTTACTGGACTGAATAATTTTTACCTGTGGAATGAAAACAAGTATCTTGCAAGAATATGGTAGAGTAACTAATAGATTCAAGAAATCTAGAAGACTTGGGACTTCCCTGGTGACACAGTGGTTGAGAATCTGCCTGCCAACACAGAGGACCTGGGTTCGATCCCTGGTCTGGGAAAAGCCCACATGCCGTGAAGTAACTAAGCCTGTGCGCCACGACTACTCAGCCCACACACCACAACTACTGAAGCCTACACACCCTAGAGCCTGTGCGCCGCAACTACTGAGCCCACGTGCCACAACTACTGAAGCCCGCATGCTCTACGGCCCACGTGTTGCAACTACTGAGCCCGCGTGCTGCAACTACTGAAGCCCACACGCCTAGAGCCCATGTTCAGCAACAAGAGAAGCCACCGCAGTGAGAAGCCCGCGCACCACAAAGAGCAGACCTCACTCGCCGCAACTAGAGAAAAGCCTGTGCGCAGCAATGAAGACGCAGTGCAGCCAAAAATAAATAAAACAAAACAAAAGAAATCTAGAAGACTGTAAGTATGCTGAGCAGGAGAAGAGAATGGTGCTTATTATATTTGATATAACATAACATACTTATTAAAAGTAAGATTAAGGAAACCCATAATCATTTGTTCATAAAATAGGAACCAGGATGCCTGTACTCACTGGTATATTCCCCAGTGTCTAAAACGGTACCCAGAATACTATTAGCACCCAATAAATAAATTTGTTGAATATATATGTGAATGAGGAAAGAAAAAAGTTATTAAATTTTAAGAAATGTTCTCCACTGGCCTCAATGCTCTGAGGGCTTAATATTCTCTCCCACTCTTTGTCTCATTAAAATGGCCTTCTGTTGCTAACTCTACTTTTGAAAATATAAATAAACTGTAATATATTAATTTAGTAAAGGTATGATAACCACTTTAAGTAGTACTAAATTATTAACTACTGAAGGTCAAGACAAAAACCTAACATACTATCAGACACAAAGTAAATGATACCTGAGATTTCACACAGATTTTTAGGTATCTCCCAAGCTCCATTTTGCAATTTTGGAATTTAAAGGCAAACACATTTGTTACTGGATGGGAAATGTGAATATGTTTCCTTGCAAAGTTTGTCATCTTACCAGGTCTTTCCTTCCCAGTGCCTTTTGACTCAGCAAATTTTTGTATCAAGCTTTCAACTGTAGTGTTAGCCATGTTATTTATAAATTCTTCATGGACCTATTAAAATGAAATAAAGATAAGTTTTTTTCACTTTCCATAAATATTCTTACTGTATTTCAGACAAAACTTCCATAAAACAATTAAAATTCATTATACCAAAATATATATATTTTGACCCAGAGCCTTTAAGAACTTTCATTTGCCTAATATGCTCTGTTACCTAACTCTGTTAGTAGATCTATGGATACAAACCACTTTTTACACGAACTCTTAACATATGGTCTCACAGCCTTAGAAGTCAAGGCAGTGTCCTGCTCCTATCTTTGAGTGTTTTAGGGACATAAATCTTACGATAAATAAAACTTATACAGCAATGAAAATAGTATTAGAACTTTAGTAACCAAGAATAACAGACTTCATCTTTCTCTACTATATTTCAATGCACCCCAAATGTCATCATTAAGGCACTTTTATATTTTTGGAAAATTTCTAAGCACAAGCTCTATAACTTACTGAAGTTGCTATTCTAAATTTTAAAATAGTAAAACTTTGTAATAAAGAAATACTCAAAAATTGTTAACTTCAGAATTTTCACTCCATAATTAATTTAAATTATCATCCTTGATAGGATGGTAAAATCCAGGTTATTCTGTATTTAATACATGTAAATACATATTCTTTACCTGAAATAATTCAGTATCATGTTATGAGTTATGATTTTTAGAGTCAAAAGTGAACATAAAATTCTCACGAATCAGTTCAATAAAAGTAAAAACGTACCTGGCCTATTTGTAAATGAATTTCCTTTATAGCATTTGACAAGGATCCTATAATTTCTTTTATATGAATGAGATGAGTTTCTTCAATATCTTGAAATTTCTGGGTAGCGAATATAAAAAATTACACACACACAGATATATTCTGAAATCAAAACACTTTTTAGAAGTCATCTTAATACAGCTAACCAAATTTGTCAAGTTATCATTATTATTTAATATTTAACAATGCATCGAAAAATATAGCATCGAAAAAAGTTAACTTTTTGTTACATCATTTCTCGGGCAAATATGACTTTTTCAGAATCAGAAGATACCACAAATTAAAATCTACAATCATGGTCAGAAAATTAGAAGGAGACCCAGAAGAGAACAGTGTCAAAAAACCAAGGGAGAAGTATTTCAAAAACTGAAAAACAATTAGTTTGCAGAGCTAAAACTACAGTTTACTTCTTAAGACTTTACAATCTAGCCCATAGACTTTCAAAAAGGTCTAATTCTTGAAATGTTAATACATAGTCTCCAAAAGAGACAGTCTACAGTCAAAGAAATCTGGGAAAGCCTGTATGTATACTCTGTCTCAGCAGTTCTCAACTGAAGGTAGAGATGATTCAGATGACCTAGAGAATGTTTTCAAACTATAAAACAAACAGATCCTCCATGACTACTTAGGCAGTGGGCTGGAAAGAGGTAAGAATGTTGTTTGGAAAAAAAATCCCAGGTTATTCTGATATTTACTCCCCAGGAAGAAAACCACTGCTAGACTTGGCTTCACAATAAACGTATTAAAAACTGAAGTAACTGAGAAATACTAAAGTAACAAAACTTGTTTCACTATGCTTAACCCAGTGTGTTCCAAATTTCTTTGACCATACAACCCTTTTTTCCTTCTTCTCTGAATATCTATTAATATCTCACAGAACAATAATATTCCTCAAAACAGGATTTGGGAAATGATGAACTAGTCATTTTCAAACAAAAATACATTTGTCGTTTCCAGTGCACAAAGCTGATTACCCACTTTCTTGCCAAATTACATCAGTTCTAAGGAGCAGGCCTAAATGTTTGCTATTTTCCCCTCGTTTATCAAATTAAATTCCCTCACCCCATATTTAATGTCCAATTTTCTTCAGCACTGAGTTACGTGATCAGAAATCACTAAGCCAAATAATCATGTCTATATTTGTGTAAAGGGTCTGAGCTTCTAAAAAAAAATCAATTATGGTGAAATTAGTTTGGGCAGTAATGCAACAAAGTCCAAAAACTTAAATCCGTTTTATTCATGAGGAATGATAAGAGTTAAAATAGAGTGCTTGTCTTGACTAATTTTGACCAAGTCCAACGAGAATACCAATACTGCAAGATCCTGAATTACTCTTAAGAACTGAGGAACATTCAGGAGGAGCATGATCCTATTTTACGTTCATATTACAAGAATTCACCCCCTTGGGACTTCCCTGGTGGCGCAGTGGTTGGGAGTCCGCCTGCCAACGCAGGGGGCATGGGTTCGAGTCCTGGTCCGGGAAGATCCCACATGCCGCGGAGCAACTAAGCCCGTGCGCCACAGCTGCTGAGCCTCCGCTCTGGAGCCCACGAGCCACAACTACTGAGGCCCGCGCGCCTGGAGCCCGTGCTCCACGGCAGGAGAAGCCATCGCAATGAGAAGCCCACGCAACCGCAACATAGAGTGGCCCCCGCTCGCCACAACTGGAGAAAGCCCGCGCACAGCAACAAAGACCCAATGCAGCCAAAAATAAATAATAAATAAATTAAAAAAAAAAAAACGAATTCACCCTCTGCTTAAATTTCTGCAATTTAATGAACAAGATATTTTCTCATAGACAGGCAGTCCCAAATCCAGGAAAGCTTGGTCAAACAGGCACTAATTTCAAATGGATGATCCGTAATTCCAAGGAAACTTGTGCCTTCTTCTCATTCTCTTTTGAAACACCTACATTGAATAAGTCAGATCCTTAATAATTGAGAAATATCTTGAAGCATGAAGCCAAACAGAAACTAAAAGCATGATTCAGCTACAATCTTGAAACTGTGCTTTAATTTTGGTGGGAGGACTGCTAAATATCAGAATTCCTCAAAATCAGTGACTACGAAATAAGCTCAGACTTATTCAGCAATGGGAATATAGTACCAAGTGTTTGAATATAAATGAATAAATCTTCTTGAACAAATCAGAGTTTTTCCTCCTTGCCATTTCAAATCCACTGTGTTCATATGTACTGTTATATTAGTTTTTTAAAAAAGTACAATTTTGTCAGCCACAAGAGATATAGAAAAACACTCTAATACTAAAACTCCTTAATCTGAGGGTGTTGCTCAAGCAAATCTCAAATTTCCTTGAACTAGCCATCTAACTGTTCAAAGTAAACACAATCTCCCTACTGTTTCAAGTTTTTTAAGTGTCATTAACCGACAGTGGTGAAAAGCATAAGCACAGAGTCACAATTTTAATCATGCTTATTCTCAACTCAAATGCAAAAACTTACAAGTCCTCCAAGTAAATTCTAACTCCTTTCACCCCAGGTAAACATATGTCCTGCCACCCAAATTTCACTCTCACTAGATTGACAGGCCCCTTCCCACTAGGATTAAGTCAACCCGCTTGGCCTGGAACAAAAGGAAAGTAGAGAAGCACAAGAATTCTTTTCCCTTCTAAATAACCCAAAATAAAGTCTACTGTCTATTAAGAAACAAAAGTTAACCTGTCCTACAGTTGTGCGTGTGTGACAGAGACAGAGACAGACAAAGAGGGAACACGAGAGAGAACACATATACACATCAGCACAGTATACCATCATCTTTATTTAAAAGCACCATGGTTAAACATCTGCTCGAACAAATTAACGTTTCCATCTTGGAACTGGCAAGATAAACAGCTTAAATGCAATTTGGGGCTTCCCTGGTGACGCAGTGGTTGAGAGTCCGCCTGCCGATGCAGGGGACACGGGTTCGTGCCCCGGTCTGGGAAGATCCCACATGCCGCGGAGCGGCTGGGCCCGTGAGCCATGGCCACTGAGCCTGCACGTCCGGAGCCTGTGCTCCGCAACAGGAGAGGCCACAGCAGTGAGAGGCCCGTGTACCACAGAAAGAAAAAAACAAAAAAAAAACACTGCCTCTAACAAATTCTAATGTTTTTTCAAATTAAATAGCTGAAAGGCAAACATTTTCACTGATGGAAATTAACAAATCAATAATAACTGCCTTATAAATGAGTGTTCCTAATGATTTAAAAGATAAAAGAGAACTTGCTGAAGTCTACAATGACCTCATTTGCTATAGAAATTGAAACTTTTTATCTCACTAGAGATGGAGCCTCATTTAACACAACTAAACCCTTCTTGAAACATTATCATTTCCGAGCTGCCATGACATTACATTTCCCAGTTTTATTCCTTCTCTGGCTTCTCCTATTTGGGTTTCAGCATCTCTTCCTCTCCCAAACTGACAATGATGAACCTCTCAGAGCTCGGCCATTATTTCCCCACACTCTATCCAAAGGTGATGTCATTATGGCTGTGTGTACTGTCCAGCACCTATTTTATAAAGTCCCAATCCTTTATTCAAAACCTTTGGGACCAGTTGTTTTGGAATTTAAATATTCTGGATTTTTAAAAATAATGATAACATGGTGTTACCATATATCTCATAATACTACCAACAGGATCTGCAGTGGCATCTGTTTATCAAACACTAAAGGAAAACATGTATATTCAGTCTAAGTAGGATAAAGAGACTATAAATTAGCCTCACATCGGTTCAAGTTTTGCTGCCAAATGAGTTCCAGGAAAAAAATTTTTGGTTTTCAGAGCTTTTGGAATTCAGAATTGTGGATAAGGGATGTGAATATTATGTCCAGGCAAGATTACTTACAGCCTCCAAAACTGCCCATTTGATGTCTTCACTTAGGTATACGCAGCTCAAGATTAACATGTTCAAAACTGAGCATCTATCTCATGCTCTTCCAACCCCTCAAACTAACAGCTCTTCATCTAGCCTTTGCCATTCATCTCTATACACATAGGCTTATAAGCCAAAACCTGGAAGAGATCTTGAATCCCTTTAGTATTCTCCCATTCACCCTACCCCTGCCATCTCCAAATGCATTCACTTGTCTCCTTCTCCAAGGCCACCACACTGACCCTCATCCTTCTCACTGGACTATGATACTGCCTTCCAAACTTGACTCTTTTTTTTTTTTTTTTTTTTTTTTTTTTTTTGCGGTACGCGGGCCTCTCACTGTTGTGGCCTCTCCCGTTGCAGAGCACAGGTTCCAGATGCGCAGGCTCAGTGGCCATGGCTCACGGGCCCAGCCGCTCCACGGCATGTGGGATCTTCCCGGACCGGGGCACGAACCCGTGTCCCCTGCATCGGCAGGCGGACTCTCAACCACTGTGCCACCAGGGAAGCCCCAAATTGGACTCTTGATTCTCCTTTGGCCTCACTATAATCCATTCTTCATGAAACTGTCAGAATTAGCTTTAAACATGCAGACCATATCATGTCACGTCCCTGCATACAGCTCTTCAATGTATTCCAGCTGCTCCTGGAAGAAAACCTAAACCCTTACTAAAACCTGGTCCTTGATTATCTCTTTAACCTCATTTCTAACCACCATCTCTCCTTACTCAGTTTCAGTAAGCATTTTTTACTTTCTAGAATGTGATCTCTCTTTTACACATCTGGGTCTTCATATCCATGGTCTCCAACGCCTAGAACACTCCTGCCCTACAATGAGTCTCTTACTGATTCTTCAAGTCTCAGTTTTAAATGTTACTTCTCCAAAATGGACTTTCGTTAACTCCCTAATCCAAATTAGGTCAACCCCATTATTCTATCTCATGGAAGCTTGTTCTTTTCCTTTGTAACATTTATAATAATTTGTCACTTTATAATTAAGCATATATTTAATGTCTGTCTCCCTCCCCTACACTGTATACTCCATGTAGAGCAGAGAGAATTTGTTTTATTTACATATATATTGTATACACCCAGCATCTAGCACAGTGCCTACAACATGGTAAGTAGAGATGGATGCATTATGCCTGCACACAAGCATGCAAGCCGTCTGTTTCTGAGGTGTGAATCATTCACCACTCCAAGCGAGAAGACTCCCTAGAATCCAAAAAGTCAGACTCATAAAGTCCTTCTTCACACTTACAGAGTGCCTACCACGAGCTGAAAACTGTTTTAAGTGCTGAGGAGATAGCAGTAAACAAATCAATCCCTGCTCTTACAGAACTTATATTTTAGTGGGGGGAAGACAGACAACAAAAAATATGGGTAGAAGAGCCAGTGTGCCTCACCATGTTTCTAGCCCCTCAAACATGATGACTAAGAATGTTCTAAGAAGAGGTTCCTCCACCAGCCTCAGTGCCAGAGTGAAGAGCTAAGCCATGATGAACAAGCAGCATGATAACAAATAAACACTTGCTATTGTAAGCCACTGAGATTTTGGGGGTTCTGTCACAGCAGCATACCATCCTATCCTGTCTGACACAGTAAATTAAATGCATGGTGTCAGATGATGACAGGTGCTAAGGAGAAAAATAAAACAAGAAAAGAGGACAAGAGGTGAAGGCAGAAGTTTTGGGTATAATTCATAAAAGGTACCCATCTTAAATGTAGGCCTTTAACTAAGGCTCTAAGAACATCAAATTGAATATAATTTATCCCAAGCTTATAGGAGAGAGACTTTTTTTTTTTTTTTTGCGGTACGCAGGCCTCTCACTGCTGTGGCCTCTCCCGTTGCGGAGCTCAGGCTCCGGACGCGCAGACTCAGAGACCACGGCTCACGGGCCCAGCCGCTCCGCGGCATGTGGGATCTTCCCGGACCGGGGCACAAACCCGTGTCCCCTGCATCGGCAGGCGGACTCTCAACCACTGCGCCACCAGGGAAGCCTGAGACAGACTTTTTTTTAACTGATTGTCTGTCTTCCCTTACTAAAATGGAAGTTCTATGAGAGCAGGGATTCTTGACTGTTTTGTTAACCACTATATCCTCAGCACTGAGTCATTTCCAGTTTTCTTCTTAAGTATAAGTCAATTTTAAAACCCATACATAATCATTACTGTCTTCATCATCTACCAATGTCCTCATTTTCTCCAATGCTCCTTAAACATTCTAGTCAATCTGAATAATCCCTTATGATATTATAACTATTGATTCTTGGTCTTCAATCTCCAAAACAAGATGTATATTTTTAACACAGCATTATTAAAACACTGAGATTGTGCATTTTAACATTTTCTAATACTAAAAAATTTTATGACAGAAAAATTATATTATTTTTATCACTAATATAATTTATAAACAATAAACACAAATATCCTGTTTTAGATTTAAAGCCTTAAAAATACCAACCTGAGCTGTTTCTGTCATTTTCTGTTCAAAATCAGCTTTTGCTAATGCATATTTTTCCACATAGAGTTTATAGGTATCTGTAGCTTTCTTAGATTTAACAGCTGCCTGTAACAAAACAGAAACATTTTGAACTATACAAAATATTTTTTATTTCCTGATATAAGTTTATATGAAATAAGAATTTAAGTGCATTTTAAGAAATGAGGCCTATGTTGAGTTCAAGATGACAAAAATTAATACCTTTTTTTCAAGTCCTCCTTAGTGGTGTTTTTTGTTACAGTCACAAAATGATGCAGAAATTAAATGCTAATTCTCTTGTCTGATGGAACGTGCTTTAAGCAGTTAAAATACTCTCATTTTATAACCCAGAGTAAGATCACACAACCACATGATAGTACAATGTTACTAAAAATTCAACAAACAAAACTGTGACAACACCCTCAGAATATGCTTGACACTCCTTTACACACCTGTGAGTCTTTCTTCCTTCCACAACAGATATTCCATTTAATGTCTGATCAGTGACTATAAAGCTAGCTCAAAAGTTGAAAAAAAAAAAATCAATTTTCCTTGAGGTTTCTCAGTTTCCATTGTGCTCCGGAAAATCTATAAATTTGTTTTAAATCATTGCCTATTTTTCAAGAAATTGTTACTGCATTATTATAGTTCTAATTTTATCAAAGTTACTTACTCAATAAAAACTTAATAATATGTTAAATATTAGGCAGTGACGAATATGAATACAAATTATATAGAGATCTTTTCTTCAGGGACTTCATAGAAGTATAACCCATATACGTAAACAGCTAGAAATTGGTGGAAAGTAACAAAGAAGTAAAAACAAATTTTATGGAAGATGGACATTAAGGAAGAAGAAAAACTATGTGTCACTTGTAGGTTGGGGCAGACATGTGGCTATCAAGAAATTTGATTATTCTCAAAGGATTGATCAATTTGGATACAGGAAGTTTGAAGGGAAGGGGTGTTGAAGTAAATAGGAGTTTAAAGAAGATCAAAAAAAAGCTATAGGATTTCAAGATAAAAGATCTCCACTTTTGGGCTTCCCTGGTGGCGCAGTGCTTGAGAGTCCGCCTGCCGATGCGGGAGACGCGGGTTCGTGCCCCGTTTCGGGAGGATCCCACATGCCGCGGAGCGGCTGGGCCCGTGAGCCATGGCCACTGAGCCTGCGCGTCCGGAGCCTGTGCTCCGCAAATGGGAGAGGCCACAACAGTGAGAGGCCCGCATAACGCAAGGAAAAAAAAAAAAAGATCTCCACTTTCTTGATGAGGTAAGAGGGGGTCTGCTACGAGTGAAGAGTAGGGTAGGGTTGGGTTGGGAACTTCAGGAGAATAAAGAAAGTTTCAAACCATGGTTGTGGAGGATGCAACTGGTAATAACTAGAGGAGTAAAAGTCTTGCAAAGAGCCACTGAGGGCTAAGCTGCAAAACTTGGAATTTGTGCAGAGCCAATCAGAGCCAGTAGGTAATTATCTCCAGCTATGTTCAGGAGTCTAAGAATAAGTATTAGAAACAGAAAGTTGGGTTTACCTGGAGGTTTGGGGTTGGCAAGAGATGCATACAGTCTTATTCTCTAAAAAGGCAACTCTGTACTCTCTCTAAAATATAATTGCATATATTATATTAAACATATATGCTTTATGCTTGTGGGCCTTCTTCAATAAAGAATATAGGATGTCACTTTATCTTGTAGTGTATCAAAACGGTATCTTGTATCAGAACTGGTTTCGGAGCCAAAAGAAACTGGATTCAACTTCTAGCTCTACCATTTACTACCCAGTTGACTTTGACTTTTATATAGTTCTCTCATTCCTAAAATGGAAATACCACATATTTTTTTTTTTAGAGCTTTGGCACAGATGAAATGTAATTTATGTAAATGCTTGGGACAGGGACTACAAAATAAATACTACCTGCTATTAAACATCAACAGGAACATACATCATTATATTTTGCTGCTACACTTTGCTGTTATTATATCTAAGAGTTGTTCTAAGCTCTACCCCTAGAGTTAGTGTCTAAAACCTACAATGATTTTCTAGTTTGCTCCTATGGACCTTTGTCTAAACTCTCTTCCCATTGTCTAGCCGTATGACATTATTTTACACTACCGTTAATATACTTCCTCTAACATCCTTGCCCTTTCAAACATTTAACAATTAACTGAGATGGATATTTAGAGTTTACAAAGTACCTTCACGGGAAGTCCAGATAACCAAGTTTGCTAGAATTTATTTTAAAAACAATTTTAATGCCATGGTTATCTGCGTTTCCTTTTGGATTTTGTTATGCCAAGAGACTTGGAGGAAGAGAATTTCTTCCAGCTATACCTAAATTTTCAGTCTATACAAGAGTAACAAGCAACCCACAGTCCATGGAGTGATTTTTAATGACACAGTCTAGCAAAATGATATATTCCCACTGGGAGCCCCTTCTTCTTTGCTTCTGCTTCATCCTAACACTACTCTTCTCTGCTGCCTATTAAGTTATTGCCTTATAATTTACGTGTCGGCTACTGATAAATACATGAGCTGTGATCACTCCTAGAAGCATTTGAAATTTGAAAGGAAATTCATAAACAATGGAAAAGTCCCTCAAAATATAACTATAATGATTGTGTCCATACTTTTTTTAAAGTAATTTATTCCATTACAGGTTCTACACAAAATAAGACACCTCCCTTTCTAAACTTACCATTAAAACCTTTCTCTAGGGCTTCCCTGGTGGCGCAGTGCTTGAGAGTCCGCCTGCCGATGCAGGAGACGCGGGTTCGTGCCCCGTTTCGGGAAGATCCCACATGCCGCGGAGCGGCTGGGCCCGTGAGCCATGGCCACTGAGCCTGCGCGTCCGGAGCCTGTGCTCCGCAAATGGGAGAGGCCACAACAGTGAGAGGCCCGCATAACGCAAGGAAAAAAAAAAAAAAAAAAAAAAAAACCTTTCTCTAGTAGCCTCTTGTTCTGTACTATTCAATTAAGTCTTAGCTCCTCAAAAAGAAGGAAGCTTCTTGAAGACAGAGGGGATAATATGTACTCAGCCTTTAAGAACCTTCATAACATCTAGCACGATGACAGGCACATGGTAGAAACTAAAACATTTATTTACTATGGCATACAAATTCATAATCCAACAATCAGAAAATATGTGAATGAACCGTTTAAAAAGGGAAGAACTGAGTCTATAGCCTATATTTAAAGTAAACTCTTAATTTTTATTTTATTAATAAACAGGAAAAGTTCAAATAATATTTTGCTATAATCATTATATTTCCTAGTAGACACATATGTTGCATTGTAGACAACATAATGGTTTCTCACTTACAAAAAAAAAAAAAGAAGATACCCTTCATAAGTTCTAATATATTTTTTACATCAGCTTTCACTCTTCAAAGGTAAACATCATATGTCAGAATAAGGAAATTACATACCAACTTAAAGACGCATCTTAGAAAATTGGCAAAAGTAGTACTTAGTAATGAATAAATTTTTTTAAAGAGTTTATTGATTAACAACGTATTTTAAGTAATGACAAAAAAAATTTAAAGAAAACTAAGGGTATCCTATAAAAGAATATAGAGGCCACTTTAGAATGTAATCTTATTCTGGACTTCCCTGGTGGCGCAGCGGTTAAGAATCCGCCTGCCAATGCAAAAGACACTGGTTCGAACCCTGGTCCAGGAAGATCCCACATGCCGCGGAGCAACTAAGCCCGTGCGCCACAACTACTGAGCCTGCGCTCTAGAGTCCATGAGCCACAACTACTGAGCCTGTGTGCTGCAACTACTTAAGCCCACAAGCCTAGAGCCCGTGCTCCACAGTAAGAGAAGCCACTGCAAGGAGAAGCCCGCGCACTGCAACGAAGAGTAGACCCCGTTCGCTGCAAACAGAGAAAGCCCACGCACGGCAACAAAGACCCAACGCAGCCAAAAATTAAATAAATAAATAAATAAATAAATTCATCTTTAAAAAGAATGTGATCGTGGGCTTCCCTGGTGGCGCAGTGGTTGAGAGTCCGCCTGCCGATGCAGGGGACGTGGGTTCGTGCCCCGGTCCGGGAAGATCCCACATGCCGCGGAGCGGCTGGGCCCGTGAGACATGGCCGCTGAGCCTGTGTGTCCGGAGCCTGTGCTCCTCAACAGGAGAGGCCACAACAGTGAGAGGCCCGGGTACCGCAAAAAAAAAAAAAAAAAAAAGAATGTAATCGTATTGGGAATATATATATTTTTTGAAAGCAAGAAACATCTCTCATAGGAAATGACTATACAGCAACACTCAGTTAAGTCAAAATGACTTTCTAAATAGTATCTCTGCTTAGTAAAACTGTAAATTATTCTTAGGGTAGACTCATAGAAACTAAATGCCCCAGTAGTAACAAACTTGACCACTTTCGTTAAGTGATTATTAAAAGGGATGTTGGAGCATAGCAACTTATGCTTTAAAAGCAATAGCTACATTTCTTCTCATAAACAAAAGATTGGCCTTAATAGATTATCTACTGATAACGAAATAAATCCTACATTTTATTCATTTTCTTAGCATTATAAATAAGTTTACTGATGTACTACCAGAAATATTTCTGTTTAAGTGTCTATAATTTTTATAGTAAACTCCTATGAATCAAATATATACATATAAAATAAGTACTTTGTCATAGTCCACAAATATGAATAACTTCTAAATGGTGCTTTATAAAAATAAGGGTTTGTGAATGAAGATGAGACGCGTACTATGTCATAATAGCCAATAAGTGTTTATGTTTTCAAGTTCACCAAAGGAAAAACAGTTCAAAGATCTATGTTTTAAAAAAATCTACATTCATGTTAATAAAGAGCTTATTTATTACAGGCCAAAATAAATTTACTTAGGCTTGGATTTGAATATATATAAATCAGAGACCCATTAACACATCTAGTATCACAAGCAAAGATATCACCTCTGAGCAGAACAATTAGAAAAAAGCACCCCTTCCTCTTCTTTTCTTTTTGCTGATTTAGAAGATTTAGACTATACTTCTATTCTCTCAGTAGTTATGCTTAATGTTCATGCTTGACTACTACTAATTGTAATATACCATTAATTGTAACACACACCATTATCTTGTGTACCACTAAAACAGAAAAATACTGTCAAATCATGAAATAATGCTTTCTTATCACTTAAAATTTTTATTTTAGACTTATTAAAAGAGCTCTTCTAGACTTACTTAGAAGTAGATTTTTATTCTTGTGTGATAAAGAATTAAAAAGAAAGCAAAATGAACTTCCGAGATACTCCTGAATCTTTTTTCACAGTCAGATTCTGACCCTTCTCAGTTACTTCCAATTCAGGGACTGCTGAGGTCTGTTTTTTTCCCCACATAGTATTATCTTCAGTGTCACCAAAAGCATTACTGACAGAGCATTTCTTAAAAGTGTTCCACTACCATCTCCAGATTTTCTTCCAAACACGGTGCTCACATTTTCTTGATCTTACCAGGTCTCAACAAAAGGTTTTCAGACAACAATCAGAACTAATCCTTCCTCAATGCTCTTAAAGTGGTCTGTTAATTGAAACATCAACGTGTTGCAGTTGTCAAATCATGCCACCAGGTATATAACAACCAAGTTCACAGAGGCAGTGAAACTACACCACAAATGCCACCATGCCAACAGTGATTATATGATACTATCATTTGACGATGCATTCTGATTTCAGAGATGTGAGGAAAAAGATATACCCGGTAGCTTTTAATATTCTTTTTCTCTGGTGGCTCGTTCTGAATTTATCTTTATTTAACCTGCTTAATACCAAGAATGTACTTTTGATCTATGAACTCCTGAGTTTTTTAAATTCTGAAATATTCCTATCTGTTAACTCTTCAAATATTACCTGTCTACCATCCTCTCCATTTCTTTTTCTTCTGAAATCCACATCAGATGAATGTTGGTAACCTTTATTCTCTGTGCTATGTTATGGGTGAGTGCCCAAATTCAATCTTTCACTATATTAGCTCTAAAGTTTGTCTTCTCTGTTGCTTTTTTTAAAATTTCAATAACCATATATTTTATTGCCAAATTTTCTGGTTAGCTGTTTTCCCATCTGCTAGATCCTATTTCATTATCTCTCAATTTCTTGAATGTAAATTTATATTCATTTGCATATCTGAACATCCTCAACATACACGAACGTTTCTGATCATCTATTTTATAAATCTAAATTTTATTTGGAGTGACTTCTTATTCTAATTGTTAAATTTATTGCCATCTGTCTTAACAGAGGTATCCCTTGCTTTTCAAAAGTTTGTCTTTACAAGTTTGTTTACTTTGCTTTTACAAAAGAATTATATTAGTTCCTGTTTTCACGAACTGAAAAACATTCAAAGAGGATTTTCACTTTTACAAAAACAGGTGAAAAGAAAAACAGCATTCAGCATTTGTTTTGCAGGAGCCATTACAGAGGCAGCGCACGCCCTGAGAAACAGTGAAAGTGGCACCACCAAGCTCCTTCCCAGGATCTACACTCAGCATCGGTCTCCAAAGCTTTGAACTGTGTCTGTAAGCATCTGTGCTTTATCTCAATTTATTTTGTGCATGCATTAGCAAGATGTGTTCTAAGGTACTTGCTTCTCTGCTTACGCCATTTTGGCTTATGAAAGGTTTCACAGGAACACTCTACTGTTGTATAGCAGGGAAAGCTATATTAGCTATATGAGATTCCTTAAGATGTGCTTTTGCTCATTTCAGGTGGGAGGTTTCTTGTTTTTTCCCCTCTCTCTTCTCTCTCTCCCTCCATCAGTGATGCTGGAAAACTCTATAGAATACAAGGTAAACATCACCTCCTAGAACTGTGTTATATTCTATCATTTATGCTCACCCATCCCCATTTAGCAGTTTCAGGTTATCTCCTGCCAGCCCTCCAAGGCCCCAATTTAGTATCAGTCATATAAGGGTAGCTTTTAACTAATTCCCTGGAAGAATATAGGGGATATGAACGAAACAGTCATGAACTGGTTCCTTGGCCTGACTGCCAGTCAGAACTGCATCCTTAAACCCCAACTTCCAATAATGCTTTAGCCCTTCAGCAGCTCAACAGTCTTTTTTCACTACTTATAGTTTCACCAAGTGAGTGGGGTTCCTTGGGCTTCATATCAAGTGGGGAATATTTAGTCCCCTTTACCACACAAGAGCTAAATTCCACTGCCTAACTTAGGACTTTGGGTCCAACAACCCTGCATAATCAATCTCTACATGCCCTTTTGAGTTTCTGTTCCATTTCTGGTTCATTATGAAGATAATATTCTTCTTTTTGGAGCATGTTATTTTGCTTTATTTTCCCTTTTTATATATTTTATTCTTAACTGCTATGCCTGGAATGAAGAGCGTTTTAAAATCATGAACTTACTGTGCCTCATTTATTACCCCCTCCCAATTTTTATTTATTGCACAAAACACTAAAGGAAACATATTACCCCAAATTCCATCGACTGTTTTGATTTTTCCAGATGCTCTTCTAGCTTCTGCCCATGTATATACACTTTTATAATTATTATAATTGCAACATAATTACAGTTTTGTTATTTTTTAATGGCTATTTCAAATATTCTACAAAGCTTTCAAAATTATCACTCCCTATGGCTGATTCCTAAATGATATATACCACATCAAACAAGTTAAACTGTTTTGAAAGGGGAAAAATATCTACTTTCAATCAAAATGAGAATGGGGGAAAGGGTTGTGGTTTACCACGATACTACATACATGGGCTCAAAGTCAGCAATAAATCACCCACAACATATATTTAAAGTTTATCTCAAGTAACTATTGCCTTGCTAAATCTACCAAAGTCTTGCTTCAAAAAATTTTTTACCTCATTATTAAATCTTACACCAAGCAGCATCTCATCAATTATCTTATAAAAATATCCTGCAGGGCTTCCCTGGTGGCGCAGTGGTTGAGAGTCCGTCTGCCGATGCAGGGGACACGCGTTCGTGCCCCGGTCCGGGAGGATCCTACATGCCGCGGAGCGGCTGGGCCCGTGAGCCACGGCCGCTGAGCCTGCGCGTCCGGAGCCTGTGCTCCGCAACAGGAGAGGCCACAACAGTGAGAGGCCCGCGTACCGCAAAAACAAAAACAAAAACAAAAACAAAAACAAAAAATATCCTGCAAGTGTGTCAGCAATATAAAGAAATCATTCCTTTTTATGTGTTTGTTAACCTATCTACCAGATACAACATATTTTGTAAACCTACTTCTGTTTCACTTAGGTAAATCACTAACACTCAGAGGCACAGTGACTTCATCTTTAATATGGATCATTCTTGACTGTTTAAAGATTAAATGCAGTCTTGTACTTGAAAATGCTTTGAAACCACAGAGGTATTATTTTTATTACGATTACCTTTTCTATTTCTCTTTGTGTAGCTCCTTCCTTTTTCAAACGTTCCTGTTCTACACATTTGGCGTTGTAATTTTCCTTGGATTTCTGGAGGGCCTGAGTTATGCTCTGAATGGTTTGAACAGCTTCCAGAGTTCCTGCAACTTCTTCTTTAGTCTGTTTGGTACGAAATGATTCATCAAAATGCAGAACTACAAAGCACTCAATACCTGACCGATCAATCCTTTAACAAAACTGATACCTTTTTATGTGATTTTACTTGTTCTTCTCCATACTTCTGAACTTCTTTTATTAATTCCTGCAATTTTCTAACAAGATCCAAGTGGCAATTTGCTAATTTCTCTGTAGATGTTTTGAACACATCCCACACTGGTGCAAACGTTCTAAAGCAAAGAAAACATGGGAATAATTTACTAACAGGAAGAAAAAGTTTAAGGCTCCAGAATAGAACCAATGGAAATAATGTTATATTCAGTAATTTTAATTAGTCAAAAGATGAGATTAGATTAAATCACAAATGAAACGACTGACAGCCTGACCTTGATTTTTTTTTTTAAACCCTTGGTTAATTACTTAAAATATTTTTATACCTCAGATACAGAGAAATGAGTTAACTCATATCACAGGTCTGGCCATGACCCTCCCTTAATTATAACGTGCCATTTTCTGAGTTGATTTTGGTTATTTAGATTTGTATCAGAAGCCCTTCTAATCACTGTCTACTGTTTAAAACTAACTTATTATCAAATCTAAATTTTAGACTCTTCAGTGCTCCATTTAAAATGCTTCATCAAAAATAAAAGCTCCTGCGAATTCCCTGGCAGTCCAGTGGTTAGGACTCCGTGCTTCCAATGCAGGGTCACAGGTTCGATCCCTGGTCAGGGAACTAAGATCCCGCATGCCTGCAGTGAGGCCAAAAAAAAAACAAATAAATAAAATTAAGAAAATAAAAGCTCCTCTGAATTTAAACATGCAAAAGTCAAATTTGCACATGATTTTTTAAGTGCCTTCATCATTAAAATTTATTTAAGAATTATTTTAAAACTGTTATCTGAAACTTTGTTTCAGATTTTACCCGTGTACTTCAACAAACACTAAGAGAGCCCCCTTTCTACTACACTTAGTATAGAACGTATGACATACTTTCCTACCACTCCTTCTCAACATTGAGAATTTAATATTTTCAACAGGTTCAAGCACTTCCAAGAGTTATACATTATAATATTTTGAATAATACTTAGGATGCCAAAGGTTAGTTTAATTTGGTCAGTAGGGAATGATATAAGAATAATTTTATCCTATGCTTTCCTCAGGTACTTCCTCAGAGATTTTCAACAGCACTTGCTTTGCTCTATGATAAAACAAAACCAAACAGCAACAATGATCACTAACGCAAGACGGTAGAGACAGAAAGTACTTACCCTAATATGTACTCTGTGCCAGTTACTGCATTTCCTACCCAGTAGGAAAGCTAACTGACAACAATCATTTTAAGCAATAAAAAAAGTTCAAAGAGAATAATTAAAATACTTAAATAGGACTGTTCTGATTAGATCTTACCTCACACTTTTAAATCTAATCAGCACTAAAGGTGGCAAGTAGTTAGATGGAAAATTTTGAGAGAAAAAAGGACACCTGAAAAGTATCCACTCACTACAGCACCAAAATACATGTACATCACTTCAGGTAAACCTGATACATGATAGTCTAGACTTTACAAAACAGGTAAGATGAGAGTGTCCCTTTACTTTACCCAAGGATTATTTACACTGAAAGGAGGTTCAACATAAGATTTCTTTAAATACAGGTTTCTTTAAGGAATTTCAAGTATCATTCCATTTTTTAAAGTTTGACATACACAACTTTTTTCTGGTCAGGTAATACAAGTTAATGTACAATGAGCACTAAGAAAGGAAACTGACCAATCCAAAATATGTTTAAATGCAACTAAATACAGAAAGATAAAATTCAATTCTTGCCTAAATATGCATCAGTAAACAAAAACATTAATATTTAAAATCTTTATAATCTTAAGTAACAACACTAACACAAAAAATAAAATATCACCTATTATTCATGAAAGACACATATTCCAAAGACAGAAATGTTTTCAGTAACTTTATTAGAAAACACATGTTTTTTTCTACCTCCCACCTGGTAACTAAAAATAAGAATTTCCTATATTAAAACCATGGCCTCATACTGAGTGAAGTAAGTCAAACACAGAAAGACAAGTATCATATGATATTGCTTATATGTGGAATCTGAAAAAAAGGTGGGGGGTACAAATGAACTTATTTACAAAACAGAAATGGAGTCACGGATGTAGAAAACAAACTTACGGTTCCCAAGGGATGGGGGGGAGGGATAAACTGGGAGATTGGGACTGACATATACACTCTACTATATATAAAACAGATAACTAACAATAGCCTGCTGAATAGCACAGGGAACTCTACTCACTACTTTGTAATGGCCTGTATGGGAAAAGAATCTTAAAAAAAACAAAAACAGAAGTAGAGTCACAGATGTAGAAAACAAACTTATGGTTACCCCCTAGGGGATGGGGTGAGAGGGGGAGAACTGGGAGATTGGGGTTGATGTACACATACTAGTATATCTAAAATAGATAACTAATAAGAACCTACTGTATAGCACAGGGAACTCTACTCAATACTCTATAATGGCCTACTTGAGAAAAGAATCTAAAAAAAGAGTGGATATTTGTATATGTATAACTGACTCACTTTGCTGTACACCTGAAACTAATACAACATTGTAAATCAACTCTACTCCAATAAGAAGTTTTTAAAAATAATAAATATTTCTAAAATATCAATCATACTGGAAATGTAAAAGAATGAGTATATGAAAGAAAAATAAATTATTTATTAAAAAAAACAACAAACCATGGTCAATTGGTTAAAGCTAGCTTCTGTTATTCCAGTTACTTTCTGGCCCTTCTACTGTGGTCAATAAAGAAGAAATTATGTTTTAGAAGAGGCACGTCTACATGGAGGAGTTAGAAACAGGAGGCTGCCAGAAAAGTGAGGAGAGATATGGAAAAAGAAGGAAGAATGAAGTTGTATTGTGTAGTTTAATAAAGGGAAAAAAGTAAGTTTCATTTACTTTGTGTTAACTGATTCAGCAAATTCAATTATACTTCCTATCAAGTCGAGAATATACTCACATATAGACGCATTGTGAATAAACACATTACATATTATTACATTTATGAACCAATTTATCCTTAATGGGAACCTACTATTCTCATAAACTTTGCCTAAATCAACATTGAAAGAGTTCTTCAAAGAAATTAACTCACCCAAGTTGTGAATAATTGCTTGCAGATTTTGCTAGTTTTGTCATTGACCTGGAGTATGCCTCTTCTATTGTAGCTCTGTTAAATCAAATTTCCATATTATAATAGCTCTTGTTTAATGACCAAACACATAGCAAAATTATTAAAATACAGTCACAACTGTAGAAACAAAAAGATAACTCAAAGTATATGTTAAAAATAAGTAGGTATGTGGTCATGAATTTCTGGCTTATCTTTAAATGGCCTTTGTTCACATCTACTTAAAGAACTAGTCTGGTATAGAACTAAAATAATGTATTGATATACCACCAAAAAAACTTCAGTGAAGTCACTCCTCTTCTTACCTTTAGTATCAATGGTTATCGGAACAGGAAGTACAAAAGTACTGTTTCTTGCATTCTCTCTATTATACAAACTGATTCAGTATGAAAGTCATTTGTGTTTAATATTTCCTTGTATAGTTTTATTATTCTTTAACATTGTAAATTCATTATTATGCACATTTAATGGAACAAGAGATTGAGGACGGTCATTTGCACAAAACTAAGTATGAATTATTAGCAAGTCTGAGATCCTGAACTTCAGTACTTAATCTAGTCTGTGATTAGATCTAAAACACTAACAAGTATTTCACACTAGGATACTGTGCTTTATATAACTGCTATTCAGCATACAGAATTTTAGGCTAAAAAAATTAAACCATTAAATATAGAATAGAAAAAAAATTCCCTATAGGCACATAACTTACAAATGAAAACTATGACGTTGTCTTGGCCTTCATAACACTACAAAAATTAAGTTCTATCTTACCTCACCCATAATTACCCTGTCCCTTCTCAATCTGTGCTACCCTTGTAACAAAGAAACAGTCTACAACCACCACTGCCTTCCAGTTACTTTGATAGCTTCAACTAACATTCTGAGATCAACAAATCCAGATCTCCACCCTGCTCTTGAAGCAAATCATCTGTTTAATATCTAAATGCCTCAAGCATAACTCTAGCTAGACATCTTAATCATCTCAACCTCAGAATATCCAAACTAAGCTTATCTCTAGACTCTTCCCCAGCCCCACAAAAGGTAGCTCTTTAACAAAAAGCAACTATTAACAGTAACTGCCTCTCACTGACGGCACTGTGATTTTTTTCTGCTCCTTAAACTTCTGTGTGTCTTTTTAATATACTATATTACAAGGGTAGTACTTTGATACTTTTTAGAAAGTTAATACAGAAATAGTATCTCAATGAATAAGTTTAACGGCAAGGAAAAAATGGTTCATTTCCAGTACTAGTAAATTGATCCAAAAACCTTCCAATGAGAAAATGAGAAAAAGCTGGAGAGGTGGTGGGTGTGCCTAAAAGGCATCAGAGAACTAAAGAGGCAGTTAAGAATCAGCAGGCCAAGACCCAAGAGAAGGCTATCCAGAGAAGAGAGACAGAGAGGTAGGGCAGCTTTTCCCCTGGGGCATCTACAAGCGGCAGCTGATCCTGAGAAGCAAAGCAAAGCCTCACAAGGTAAGGGAGACAAAACTAGCTTCAGACTTGCCAAAGGTGGGAAGCATGGAAAATCCCATACCCTTTAAACTGAGGCTCAAAGAGTAAGGATATGAGTTAAGGATGAACCGTAAGTAGGCAAGCTCTCAAAGGGACTGCAAATATTATCTTTTCAAACTGATATTGGATTCTGCATGGTTGTCTTATATACATTCATACAACCACCAGGTACATAAGGAAACAAGACAAGATGAACCACCAGCGGAAGCAAATTTAACAATGTTCCACACGCTAAGATTATAAAGCTTAGACGTTATGAGTTTATGCATTATGATCAAGGAGCCAGTCGATTAAATCAAGAATTTCACTAGAGAGCTAAAAATCATTTTTCAAAAGTGGGGGAAAGCACAGCAAATTTGAAAAAAACATAAATTCTATATCTGAAAAATACAATAACCAAAATTAGTATCTCAATGGATGCAGTTTAACTATAGATTCAATACACTGTAGTGAGACGTAAACTAGAGAGAGGTGAGAAGATCTGGATTCTGGATTAAAGCTCAGTGAAACATAAATTAACATAACATGGTAAATCAACTATACTCCAATAAAAATTAATTAAAAAAAGAGAAAAAGCTCAGTGAAACAAAAGAATGGAAAACAGAGAAGAGAAATAAAAGACAAAGGACAGAGCAAAAAGGTCTAACATGTGTAACGAAAGTAAGAATGGGTCAGAAGAAATATATATTTGCAGAGATAATGACAGAGAATTTTCCAAAACTGACCACAGATATTAAACCACAGGTTCAAGTAGCCCAACAAACCCTAAGAGGATAAATAAAAAGGTATGTACATCTAGTCACATCATAGTAAAACTGCTGAAAGTCAAAGACAAAAGGAAGATCTTAAAAGCAGCTAAACCTTTCCCACCATCAAACGTTACCTTCAAAGGAATGATAATTAGCCTGATAGCTAACGTCTCAACAGTAGATAATGCAATGGTCTTCAAAGAATTTTTTTTTAATCTAGTAAAATGCAAAACTATAAAACTATAAAATAACATAGGAGAAAACTTAGATGACCTTGGGTATGGCAATGTCCTTTTAGATAGAACACTATAGACATGACCTATGAAAGAACTCATTGATAAGCTGGACTTCATTAAAATTAAAAACTGCTCTGTGAAAGATGATGTCAAGAAAATAAGAGGACAAGCCACAGACTGGGAGAAATTATTTGCAAAAGACAAAAGAGAAAAAGAAATGTTATCCCAAATACACACAGAACTCTTAAAACTCAACAATAAGAAAACAAACAACCTGATTAAAAAATGGGCCAGGGGGCTTCCCTGGTGGCGCAGTGGTTGAGAACCTGCCTGCTAATGCAGGGGACACAGGTTCGAGCCCTGGTCTGGGAGGATCCCACATGCTGTGGAGCAACTAGGCCCGTGAGCCACAACTACTGAGCCTGCGCGTCTGGAGCCTGTGCTCCACAACAAGAGAAGCCGCGATAGTGAGAGGCCCGCGCACCACGATGAAGAGTGGCCCCTGCTTGCCACAACTAGGGAAAGCCCTCGTACAGAAACGAAGACCCAACACAGCAAAAATAAAATAAATTAATAAACTCCTACCCCCAACATCTTCTTTAAAAAAAGGGCCAGGGCTCCCCTGGTGGCGCAGTGGTTGAGAGTCTGCCTGCCGATGCAGGGGACAAGGGTTCGTGCCCCGGTCCAGGAAGATCCCACATGCCGCGGAGCAGCTGGGCCCGTGAGCCATGGCCACTGAGCCTGCGCATCCGGAGCCTGTGCTCCACAACGGGAGAAGCCACAACAGGGAGAGGCCCGCGTACCTCAAAAAACCAAACAAACAAAAAATGGGCCCAAAACTTTGACACCTCACCAAAGATGGTATACAGATGACAGATAAGCATATGAAATGATGCTCCACATCATATGTCATCAGGGAAATGTAAATTAAAACAAGATACCACTACATACCTATGAGAATGGTCAAAGTGTGGAACACTGACAACACCAAATACCAGCAAGGATGTGGAGCAACAGAAATTCTCATTCATTGCTGGTGAGAATGCAGTGATACAGCCACTTTGGAAGACTGTTTGACAGTTTCTTACAAAACTAAACTTATTCGTACCCTACAATCTAGGAATTGTGTTCTTTCCTATATACTCAGAGGAGTTGAAAACTTATGTTCACACAAAAACACGCACAAGTATGTTTATAGCAGCTTTATTCATAACTGCCAAAACTCAAAAGCAACTAAGATGTCCTTCAGTAGATGAATGGATAGATGATGGATAAATAATTCATATCCAGACAACAGAATATTATTCAGCATATTACTAAGTGAAAGAAACCAACCTGAAAATGCTATTACATACTGTATGACTCCAACTAAGGTGGACCTTTGAACAACACAGGTTTGAACTGTGCGGGTCCACTTATACACAGATTTTTTTTCAACAAATACATACTATAGTACTAAATGGTCCACAGTTGGTTGAATCCACGGATACAGAACTGCAGATATGAAGTGCCCACTGTAAAGTTATATACAGATATTCGACTGCACAGAGGGTTGGCACCCCTAACCCCTGTGCTATTTAAGGATCAACTACATATGACATTCTGGAAAAGGCAAAACTATGGAGACATAAAAATAGAAAACAGACGATTCTAGGGCTGTGAAAATACTCTGCAAAATATTATAATGGTGGATATATGCCATCATACATTTGACCAACCCATAGAATATATAACACCAAGAGTGAACCCCAAGGTAAACGATGGATTTTGGGTGATTAGGATGTATCAATGCAGGTTCATCCTTGGTTAAAAAAAAAAGAAAGGTACCATTCTGGTGAGTAATGTTGATAATGGGGGAGGCTATGCGTGTCTGGGGGCAGGGGACATACAGAAAATCTCTGTACCTTCCTCTCAATTTTGTTGTAAACCTAAAACTGCTCCAAAAAAATGACTTTAAAAAAAACCTACCAACTAGAATTCCATACCCAGCAAAAATATAAATGAAAGTAAACCCCTAATAAAACAACAGATCTAGGTGATGAGCATCAACGGCTACTAACATCACAAAAGAGATATAACCAGATAGTATACACCTCTGATGGAAGTACACACCACCGCTGATGAAGTATTCTTGTCAAAATACTGAACTGAATTTGATCTAGTTGCTACATTCAAATAACAATTTATAAGAAATATAGGAGTAAAGGAAAATGTTAAATAAAACTATGAATATGCAATTAGCATATTCCAGGATTTGGGACCCTCTATAGAACAAATAATTTGGTTTCTTAAACAAACAAAAAAAAAGTAAGGAAGGAGTGAGAAGTACAGATTAAGAGACTCAAAAATAACATCAATCAAACATAGTGTGTAACTCTTGCTGGGATCTTGATTAGAGGAAATCAATTATGTGTATCGTTGTGTGTATATGGCAATTGAGAAAAAGTGAGCACTGACTGGATATCTGGTGATATTAGGAATTAATACCACATTTTTAGATAAGGTAACATACTGTAGCTATGTTTTTTAAACAGCCCTTA